GCAAAATTTTGAATTATTGAGGGTGTACACTCCCCACACTCCCTGCGATAATGTTGGGAATGTCGTACCAGACATCTATTTCAACTATTTTGACATCGTTAGTAGGAAAAACATTATAGTTCTAAGTAACTAAGAGTACACTTTCTAATGTTAAACTTCAATCTTAAATTTGAACACTTTCATTCTGTTCCGTTTTTGTCACCCAAACGGTACAAATTAGTTGTGAAATTCAAGTATTTGCTAACATATTGCTAAAAAAACAAAGATTCTGTTCCAGATTCCTACTAGAAACACAAGTGTGACGTCTGAAGAAATGGCCGCATCATCTAATGATGAATTGTCAGCAGCACGCGAAATGAACATACTCATCAAGCTTCGCACATACTTGGATAACAAGCCATGTAGTTGTTGTTACGATTTGCGCCCATTGGCTCGTGCTCGGATTGTCAATGAGCGAGAAGTGTTAGGTTATGCTGCTCATTTGTGGACACTCAACGAAAGTCGCTGGACAACAGAAGCCAACGTGCCATGTTACGGTGATGAACCTGTAAACCAACAACCACTAGGCAACATTTGGAATGATTATCATTTCGATCGACCGACTAAAACTCTACTTGATAACAAGAAACCTGAAGAAGTCGTTCGTGATCTAAAAGAGAATCAACGTCGAGAGCGATGTACGAAGTGTGAATGTCTTGGAGAAATCAAATGTCCTAAGTGCTTAGGTTTTGGCTCTGTGGATTGTGACAAATGTCATCGCAAAGGTTCAATTGAGTGTTGTCAAAATCAAAACTGTTCAAAGTGCAGGGGTACAGGTTCTTATACGTGTGACACATGTTCGGGAAAAATCAAAATCAATTGTCCCACATGTCTCACTCATGGTCGTATTCAGTGTACTGATTGCAAAGGTCTTCGCTTTATTCTCATTTACAAGCAATTGCATGTTAAATGGGAGAATCATGAATCATCGATCACTCGGGATGTTAGCAACGACAGTATCCTCCCGGCTTCAGAAATAGAAAAGGCATCGAGCAAAGTTACTTGTCTCGAATTCGACGATACCTGGTCCTCGACACAATCGATCGACACCGTACTTGATACTTGTGCCGAGTTGCCTAATGATTTACGGACCAACATCCGTGAACAATATCGAAAGGAACATTGCGACAAAGGGGGAAAAACTATTCGATTACGTTCCACTGTTCAATGTCTTCGTATCAAAGAAATCGATTACACATTGGACAAAACGCCAGGTAACACAATTTCTCAGCAATTTTTTTCAAATTATTTGATTTACTCTTTCTATGTAGGTGAAACATATACATTTTGTCTCTATGGTAAAGGGGAAACTCAAGTCTATGAGAACCAATACCCATACAAATGCTGCAGTCGATGCACTCTTTTATAAGAATTCGTTTATCGCGACCTATCTATACTAATTGATAATCGTACACTTTTCTGAGGCTTGATGCACTTGATTCTTTTTGAAATATGCACATACACATCTAACACATGCAATAATCATAATCCTTTCATCACTATATATTTTATTGTCTAATAAACGTTATCACAGAAGATATCCTTTAACTAAGTAGTTAATGATTTATATCATCGGCATGTACTGTTGCCGATCAAACTCTAATATGTATAAGGAAAAAATGGAGGAAACATTACTTGAAAAGAAAGAGAAAATTTGTCTGATATCAAGAAACTTTCATTCGATTTTTTGTTTTGAGTTACTGATCTTTGTTTTCAAAGTTGTCCGTTCATGATAATATGACTAAGATGATGCAAAATGAGAAATAAATTCAGAACTTTGTCTTTATCAACGGTTTTGAACTTGTCAAATAAATTAAAAACCGAACCTGAAAATATGCAGATAACTCTACAGTCTTAGAAGACACTTGGTTTTCTAAAAAATGTATATTTTTAAAGTCTTAGTGGTTTTATTTTTAATATCAAATATACTATTGTGAAAGAGCATGAAACTTTGTGTCTTGAAATACAATATGTAAAAAAAACCTATTTGGACACCTACGATGTTTATGTCTTAAACAAGTGTTTAGAACAGTTTTTCGAAGTTCAAGAAAAATCTAGTAGAAAAGTTTAGTTATTATTTTGGTGGTGATAGAAGATATTTTGGGTTATAGGATCATCTAATAGAAGGGAACGTAAGTTCCTTTTGTGTAAGACTTAAACCGAAATTTGAATAATGATACTTTCGTTACCAATTCACAGCCAACATTCTTAATTTGAGTTTTGCTCCTCGCAACAGGCTCGTATTTTTTTTCTATGGAGATCTGTTCGTTGAAGAGTTCATTTCCTATTCAAAGTCTTTCAACTACCAAAAAATAAATGTCATACTTTTGCTTCCTGATGAGTGATAGATTGTGAATCTATTTTATTTAATACTGGCGAAAATCCTATGATTGGTAATACATAAACATCCCCAACTAGTTTCGGTTTTTCTACATTTCCTAAATGTTGCTACTTGAACCCATATTTTGTCTGAAGGACACTTGGTATGGCATCTGCTCATATGCCTGCTACGATATGATGCAAAATAGGATGACCAGGAGCAACTCCAATAGTCCATTGAACAAACTGGTTCTTTCGAACATAATCTCGTTGCCAAACATCCCACAGTTTGATATCAGCTTCGATTCCAATAATCAATGCTATACTCGTTCTCATTTGCTCCTCTGTTCATGTTTCAATTGATCGAAGACCTATGGTACCCAATTCTGAACGAATGCCTCAGCAGCTGAATCATTATAAAGGAAGTATTTGTAAGTGAGTTTGAGACAAATAAATGAATTCTTGGAAATATCAATGTTCGAAGAATATTTTGAAGTTTGAATAATGTGTCAAGGAATTAGCGGCACATAGATAGGTATAGTTGATTACATAATCATTTTTAGTGGAATATTGTCCTTTTTCAATCAAATAAATAAAGCGAATAACAATGAAATAAAAATCATAGATAAAAGTGAGCGTGATAAAGTACGATTCTTCTGATTGTGATATCGTTTCATTTACTCTATGCCGTAGTGGAAGAAAAGAAATTGAAAAATAATAATAGTAGTGGGTGTGGATTTGCGTGTGCGATGTGAGTGTTGCTGTTAGCATTTGCTTCTTCCACACCTACACCCATATCCACACCCAAAATACATTTGTTGGTACACTCTCTATTTTACTGCACTAATATTTATTTTTTTGTGGAATTAAATTATATCGCTTAATTTATCTTTTATGTATATTCTTCACAATGGAATATTTATTTTTAAGTATAATTTTTAATTTGAGAAATTCTACTAGGATGGCTGTGTAGGTTTGAGTGTGAATCTTAGGGTATTAGGAGACTTACACCTTTCTGCGGAGTCGAAATATTTTTTCGACTACGATAAAGAAAAACTTATGTTTTTTTAGTGTATTTTATCAACGAAATCGTGTGTTTGTCAGAGCCTTATTGACATTCTCTCACACATACAGATAAGGTCAAATAAAAGAAGAAAAAAGAAAAAACAACACGATCATATTTCAGGGAATCACGAATAATATCGTAACATTCTTTTTTTGTTAACTTCTGATAACATTATTTTATCAATTTTCAATGAATACATACTTTTCAATAACATTAATAATTTTTTTTAAACATGGTATTCTGGTTATTGCTCAAAACAAATATGATGATCATAATATATTCGAATTTTATGATGTCAATGGCCCAATAAATAGTATTATTCGAAAATTTTATTTTTAACTACATTATTTATTAATAGATATTGTTTTCTTTTTTGTTTTTAAATTTATATCAAGTAAAATGCGTACTTAAATCAACAGAGAACGAAGGTATTTCTCAATTGTTCAAGTCGAATTGAGTTAAATGAGCAAAGTAATGAATTAATGGCTTCAATTGACAATCCAGTTTTAACTTCTCCAGCATTTAAATTAAAAACTGAAGAAGTTAATTCTAGTACCAAATGTATTCGTATTACACCCTATAGTTATATTGGTGTTAATCACATTATTTGTCATGGGAATAATAATATAACTTATGGTGAAAAGATCGATCTTTTTATTTGAGATATTAAGATAAAGAAAAACAAAACGGTTTTTTAATTAGAAATTATACAAACTGCAAAAAAAAAGTTAAGCAAATGTTTGTTCGAAAGGTTACCCTTCCGAATCAAATAGACATATGAAATTTTCGCGTTTTCTCAATAGAAAAGGCACAACCCCCCAGCTTTTTTGTCTATGTTAGTTTTAACCGTAATTTTTCTAAAAACTCGAATTTTCGCTCATTTTGTGGGCAAAATCTCAAGTTTTTGTGAAAATTAAGATTCAAATTAACATAGACACAAAAAAGCTGAGAGCTTGTGCCTTTTCTGTTCAAAAAACGCGAAAAATCCATATGTGTGTTTGCTTGGGTTTAGACTCATTAAACT